CCTGAGCAGGGAGCCCAGTGCGGGACTCGATCCCAGGACCCTGGGACCATGACCTGAGCCGAAGGCAGACGCTTAACCAACTGAGCCACTCAGGCACCCCCAAAAAGACTTTTAAAATACTGCTCCCTTTCCCCACTATTTCACTGAGTCTGGATTTTTTCTACATACTTCAATTTAAGTAACAGATTGGGTACAACAGCAGATGTGAGAATCCAGCTGTTTGTACATCTTTGTTGTCTGCCTCAAAGGCAAACAGTAGCACTCATTATTTCTTTTAAAATATAGTTATTTTCATAAAAATATGTTTATTGGCTTTAAATGAATTAATATATTAAATATTTCTCAGTTTTGTTTTCTAACACAACAAATGTTTGATGTAAACCACATACAAAGAAGCTCTTCGTAGTCCTCAATATTTAAGAATGGGAAGGAGTCCTGGGACCAGAAGACTTGAGAACTGCTGCCTTAAGACCATTCCATTGAACTTGGTGGTAGCAAGGTGATAATCTTGACTTGGAAAAGCTATTTGCTGTAGATGGTTGGCAGTTTTTTTTGTTGTTGTTTTTAATGTGCATGCCTTGTTAATGAGAGCAATCCTATGATGGGGACAGTAGTGCTGCTTGGTGGTGAAGAGCTGCTTCACTCACTGAACTGGGCATATAGTGAGAGAGTGAGCATCAAATGTTAGTTATTAATAGTAGTGAAATAAGAAGAACCAACTTAATTAAGAATTGTCCACATTGTTAACCTAAAATGCTTTATATTCAGTTAAGAATGTGAGCCTCGGGGTGCCTGGGTGGCTCAGTCAGTTGAGTGTGAGACCCTTGATTTTGGCTCAGGTCATGATCTCAGGTCGTGGGATCCAGCCCCTCATCCGGCTCTGCTCGGAGTATGGAGCCTGCTTGGGATTCTCTCTCTCCCTCTTCCTCTCCCCCCTCACCACTCTCTTTAAAACAAAACCAAAACAAGCAATGGGAACTGTAACGATATTTCTCTGGACAGAACCTCACAGAAGCAGTTACGGGACACGATCAATGGAGTGAATGCTGATGGTCACGGCCCAGTTAACGGCCCGGAATTTCTGACAACGATGGCAAGAGAAATGAAAGGCACAGTGAGGAGGAAATTAGAGAGCATTCCGTGTGTTTGATAAAGATGGAAACAGCTGTATGATTGCAGGGCTTCACCGTGTGATGACAAACCTGGGAGAGAAGTGAGCAGATGCTGAGGTTGATATGGACAGGGAAGCAGATATTTATGGTGATGGGCACGTGAACTATGAAAAGTTTGTACTCACGATGACAGCGATGTGCGGACATTGTACAGAATGTGTTCAATTTCTTGTACCAAATTATTTATCTGCCTCTTCCTTGTTTCCCCCCTGCTGTCCAAAAACATGCATATACGGTGATTAGGACCTCATTCTTCCCTGTTTTCTTCCCTTATCTTATTGTCATTGTCCTGAAACCTTCCTTGAGAAAATCGATCCAGTCACATTGTGCACGTGGCTCCCTCTGGATAAATCTAAGACCTGCACACCTCAGCGTAGATGGAGTTGGTCAAATGAGGGAAGATCTGGGTTGTGCCTTTTTTTTTTTTTTAAGCAGTTTTTGTTAGGAAGCGTCAGCGTGTTGTAGAAGCGAGGAGCCATAACTCTTATGTGGAGTATGGACAGTCAACAATATGTAGTTCAGAGTTGCACTATTGCAAAATGGGTGTATGATCCACATACTCACACATTATTTTTTTTTGTACTGCTGGTTCTTTACTAGAAACATTTTCTTTTATTGTTACTTGCTTTTTAAACTGTGTTTAGCTACTTAAAGAAAATTTGCTTATGGCACAATTGGCCTCAAATCCATTCCAAGTTATGCATGTTTTCCAATAAAAAATTATAATTTGGGGCGCCTGGGTGGCTCAGT